GGTTTCACCATGTTGACCAGGATGGTCTCGATCTCTTGACCTCGTGATCCACCCGCCTCGGCCTCCCAAAGTGCTGGGATTACAGGCTTGAGCCACCGCGCCCGGCCTTGTCTCGTTTTCTTGATTCTTCCCTTTACAGCTCTCTGGCTGTTTTCAGGGAAGAAGAAAAGTAACAATTTGTCCAAGCTGATGAAGAGAGCAGTTCAGATTGGGGTCCTTGTATTTGTTTTAATTTCTGCTGTTATTCCAGAGATGGTGTCCTTCTGATAAGTTTTCTCACTTGGAACTGCAAAACCTGCAGAAGTAGACCCATGAGGTTGACGTGGTCTCACCTGAGTGCCCTGCCCTTCAGATGAAAAAACAGCAACATTTAAAAATTTTTGTTATTTATTTCTTTGTGTGTATTTTTGCCGTTTAACATTTTGTTAGTTTTTGTTTTAGATTTTAAAAATAGCTTTGTTGAAATATAATTCACTCTTGGCCAGACACAGTGGCTCACACCTGTAATCCCAGCACTTTGGGAGGCCAAGATGGGCGGATCACCTGAGGTCAGGAGTTCAAGACCAGCCTGGCGAACATGGTGAAACCCCGTCTCTACTAAAAATACAAAAATTAGCTGCACCAGGTGGCCCGTGCCTATAATCCCAGCTACTCAAGAGGCTGAGGCAGGAGAATCATTTGAACACAAGAGGCAGAGGTTGTAGTGAGCCCAGATTGCACCACTGCACTCCAGCCTGGACAACAAGAGCGAAACTCCCTCTCAAAGAAAAAAAAAAGTGTGCAGTTCAGGTTGGGTGTGGTGACTCAATGCCTGTAATCCCAGCACTCTGGGAGGCCAAAGTGGACAGATTACTTGAGGCCAGGAGTTCAAGACCAGCCTGGCCAACATGGCAAAACCTTCTCTCTACTAAAAATACAAAAATTAGCCGGGCATGGTGGCACACACCTACAATCCCAGCTACTTGGGAGGCTGAGGCAGAAGAATCTCTTGAACACAGGAGGCGGAGGCTGCAGTGATCGAGATCACGCCACTGCGCTCCAGCCTGGAAAAAAGAAGAAATATCCAGTTGGGTGGTTCTGGTATATTCGCGGCCGTGCGCCCATCACCACAGCCGGCCATAGGACAGAGGACATCCCAGAGGTCCCAGGTGTCCTTGAACTGTTGTCCCAGCGCCTAGGGACAAGGGACAAGTGATAGTCTCACTTCAACTTGTCAGTAGACTGTTGGCGATGAGGGGTCTTTTCTTTCCCTTCTTTGGTGCTCAGTCTCTGGAATCCGTTGGGGATTTTCCCTAACGTCACCTTGTTTCCTGCAGTCACGTTCCAGGCGTGGATCTGGCCGGTGGAACCTCTCAGCAGTTTATCTCACTGTCTCCAACTTTTGTTTTGAAAATTTCATCCCTTCATAAAAGTCTTAAGAATAATGCCGTGAGCACCCACAGGGCCCCCCACAGTCATCAAGGTTAGGTTTTTCCATGTAGTCATAGTTGCTTTTTTTCTTTTTATCTTTCTTTCCTCTTTTTTGAGACAGGGTCTTGCTCTGTTGCCCAGCCTGGTCTTGAACTCCGGGCTCAAGCAGTCTTCCCACCTTAGCCTCCCAGCGCCCTGGAATTACGAGTGAGAGCCACTGCACCTGGCCTTTTGTTTCTTCAAGTGGAAGCATGTGAGAGTAAGTTGCAGCCATCATCAGCTGTTACCCTGTGACATGTTAGCCTCGGTCTCCTGGGGACTGTGCCGTCCTCCAGCAGCCTCACACTGGGAATTATCGCCCTTGCGAAATTCAGCATTCGTAGAATCCCATCGTCCAGCGTGCTGTCTAAAGTAGGAAACGGGCTTTTCAGCTTCTTTGATGGGGTATGCCTTTTGTTGTTAACTGATCTTGGATCTAATCTAGGATCATTTTTGGCATTCAGTTGTCATGTCTCTTGAGCTTCCTTTAACCGAAAATGATCTCCTAAGCCGGGCGCGGTGGCTCACGCCTGTAATCCCAGCACTTTGGGAGGCTGAGGCGGGTGGATCACCTGAGGTCAGGAGTTTGAGACCAGCCTGACCAATATGGTAAAACCCCATCTTTAAAAAAAAAGAAGAAAAAAAGAAAATGATCTCCTTGGACAGGCATGGTTGTTCATGCCTATAATCCCAGCACTTGATGAGGCTGAGGCGGGAGGATCACCTGAGGCCAGGAATTCGAGAGCAGTCTGGGCAACATGGCAAGATGCTGTCTCTACAAAAAAATTGAAAGATTAGCCAGGCGTGACGATGTGCCTGCCTGTAGTTCCAGCTACTTGGGAGGCTGAGGTGGGAGGATGGTGGAGCCGGGAGGTAGAGGCTGCAGTGAGCCATGATGGCACCAGCACCCTCCAGCCTGGGCAACCGAGTGAGATGCTGTCTCAAGATAAAAACCCAAAAAACAAAAATAAACAATTGCCTTGCCTCCTTTCTGTCCTTCGTGATGTGACATTTTTGGGCAGTTAAACCGGTTCTGAAGAATGTTCTCAACCTGGATATCCCTGGTTGTTCCCTGTGATTAGATTCGGGTGAAAAATGTTTGTGACAGGAATGCTGAGTGTGCTACACTGTAGTCTGTTTTCTTTGCATGCATATTTAGAAGGCTTTTTAGAAATGGTGACTGAAATACATAGGAAAGTGCATGTAACGTCACTGTGAGGTAAAACATGACGCTAAAGTGAGCACCTGGGTCGTTATCACCAAGATCAGCAAACAGGACCCGGCCAGCGTTCCGGAAGCTCCCATCACGTCTCTTCCCTCTCCCTGGAAGTTACTGCCATTTGGACTTGTGTGAAAACTTGATTTAGGCTGGGTACGGTGACTCACCACTGTAATCCTAGCACTTTTAGAAGCCTGCGGTGGGAGGATGGCTTGAGCCTGGGAGGTCGAGGCTGCAGTGAGCCAAGATGGCACCACCGCACTCCAGCCTGGGTGACAGAGCAAGACCTTGTCTCAAAAAAAAAAAAAAGCAATAGCCAGGTGGGAGGCTCATGCCGATAATCCCAGCACTTCAGGACGCTAGGGCGGGCGGATCACAAGGTCAGGAGTTCGAGACCATCTGGCCTGCGTGGTGAAACCCCGTCCCTACTAAATCACACAAAAAGTTAGCTGGGCGTGGTGGCGAGTGCCTGTAGTCCCAGCCACTTGGGAGGCTGAGGCAGGGGAATCGCTTGAACCCAGGAGTCGGAGGTTGCAGTGAGTTGAGATCGCACAGCTGTACTCCAGCCTGGGTGAGAGTGAGGCTCCGTCTCAAA